TTTTTTTTTTTTTTTTTTTTTTTTTGTCATAAATTCATTCGTGAATTTCAAATTGCTTGAGTGTATGCTTTTGTTACCATAAAATCATATGGGTTTTTATTTATTTTTCCATTTTTTAGATTAGCATTAATGGCCGCTAAAATATGCCAAATTTCATTAAAGCTCACTAGCAAATATTGTCTGTTTTAGCTAATTACCTACCTTATTGGCAAAAGGTTTTTGCACTTCACCACCCAATATCTAGCTTTAATACCATTTGTAACCGCTCAAAACTTCTACAAGTAGATATTGTGCTTTTTGAGTTTTCCCTTGGACTTCCCCCTCAACATGTCTATAAGGTGAGGTTTCCACTCTTACCACCAATGTTTAAATTTCCCTCTCCAACGTTTTAAATTTTCACATTTACATTTAATTCAATAAATAAGATGTGTATATATATATTTATTTATTTTTGTTTGGATATTTTGGGGAAATATATCTAAAAAGTGAAAAAAAAGAAGATTTTTATTTTAAAATTTGAAACGTAATCACAAGTGATTGAAGGCAATAAGCACAACGTTTGACATTCAATTGCCACAAATAATCCCTCAAAAGATACCAAAAAGGTCCCAATCATTGCTCCCTTCAGACAAATCAGCCACGTCATTCTTCTTCATGCACGTGACCCCTCTCAACCCCATCATCGCCTTGCCACCTCTGCCCTAATAAAATCTACCTTCTCCAATCACCACCTGCCACCTCATCAGATAAGAAATACCCCATGTCTCCCTCTTTCTCTCGTGGCACCCCTCACTGACAAAGTGGATATCCAAACTTTCACACTGCAGCAATGGGCATGGTCCCATTTGAGGATCTCAATTACCAATTTGCCCCCCCTTCCTGCAGGCGGTGTCAATTTAATGCCCTCGCTTTTATAATTCATAGTTTTCCATGTGATTTGGAAATTATTGGTTACATTAATGTAACCGAGAAAATCCGATCAAATCAATTCATATGTTTTATTTTATAATATACTTTTTTTTAATTTACTAATTATAATTACTTATATTTATTTATAATTATTTTTAATAGGTTAAAAGGTAATTTTTTAAAATACATATTGAAATTTTTTATATAGATTCCAAAACATAACATGATCTAGAATTGGGTCAACCATCCAAAACTCATCTACCTGATGCACCTTATAGTTGGGTTGTACCTTCCTCAAGTGTCAAATGTGATGTTGTACCTCATCGTTTAAATCAGAGCTCCATTTGGGTACAATGAGAAGGAGTTTACTAGGGTCAATGCAGTAAGATTTGTGAAACTAATCATGCCTTTACACGCGTGCCCGGAAACATAGGCTGACTACTGAGCCCACTCTGGCTCAGCCGCACCACCCTGAATGCGAGCCACTCAAGAAGCAAGCTATTACAGCCGAAGAGCAAAGCTATTTAGGTCTAAAATGTCTCACATTACTCCAATTTAAAAAAATTATGATTGAATTGGCTTAAATTTATTATTTAATAATAAATATAATTTGGGTTTAAAATTTTTTCAATCCAACAATTAAAGGTAAAAAAATGCATTATTTAGATTTGTTTTGGTTTACATAATCTAAAAAAGAAGAAGGGTAAAACAGGTAAATTAGGAAGAATGAAGGGAATAATTGTAAATAATAATAATAATAATAATAATAATAATAATAATAAAAAGTAAGTGGTCCCCACAGGACTGCAGAAACCAAGCGTTGTCTCGTCTTGTGTACTCTTCTATGTAGTAATCTCCATCGCTGAAGAAGAGAGAGAAAGAAGAAGAAGAAGAAGAAGAAGAGAGAGAAAGAAGAAACAGAGCAGAAATGGTGTGTGTATATGTACAGCACACTCAACGGATCTTTCCCTTTTATCTTTCCAACCTTCTTCTCTGTTCTTCATTTCTTCAACTATTCTCTCCCTGTTTTCCTTTTTTGGCTTAATTCCTTTGATTTCCAGTTTCCATGGAACTTCCAAATTCCTCTGTTTTTCACGACTTTCAGGGTTCACGATTTTCCCGATGGAATTCATGAAATTTTCTCGGTAACCAAACAGAATTCACAGTGTTTTCTTTCTTTTTCTTGTTTCTTCTGAGAATCCAATGTCTTCTCCGTGTATTAGCGGCGGTGGAAGAGCTTACAGTTTCGACCTAGAAATTGTGAAATCTCCATCTTCTTCATGGACGAGAACTTCGCAATCTTCTTCGCCTTCTTCGACTCTTTCTGAATCAAGCAATAATAATACTCAGCTTGCGATCTCTACTCGAAAATCACGAACTCCGCGAAAACGCCCAAATCAAACGTACAATGAGGCCACTCTTCTGCTTTCTACGGCGTATCCGAATGTTTTCTCTGCCAAACACCTCACGAATCCGAGAAAATTCACGAAATCTCATGATTCTCTCTTCTCTGATTCGGCGGAATTGCTGTTGCCGTTCCGAGGAATCGATTCGTCCGAGTTTCTCATCCATCAGCCGCCGGAAAAACCTAATTCCCAAATTCATTCGAAATTGGCGAATCTGTGGGAGAATCGGCCGTGTTCCAGCCCAGGGGAGGTTGATTTCCAGCCGGATTCGATGGAGATGGAAGATTTCGATGCTGAATCGATTCTTGACGAGGAAATCGAAGAGGGAATCGATAGTATTTTGGGGAATCTGTGTGTGGATAACCTAGAAACAGGCGATTCGGTGCAGGATTCTTGTGCGAATAATCATCCTTGGAATTGGAATTGTTCCTGGAATCCAATCGGCTTAGGAGGATTAAACCAGAAATTCGAATCCGGTTATGGAATCGAACGAACAGCAATCCGAGAAGTCGACAATGGAAACTGGTGGCGATTTCCGACTGTCGATGTAGTCGAAATCTCTCCGAAACTAAATCCAAAGCCACCGGCACCGTCCGCCGTGGCGACGAAGAAGAAGAAAAAGAAAGTGGAGAAGCTTACAGTAATCGAATCGAAGAAAGCCGCAATGGCACCGGAAAAGGAGAAATCGGAGAAGCAGATTCCGAAAGGATTGGTTCTGAAACTGAACTACGAAGCCGTCGCCGACGCTTGGTCCAACCGAGGATCCCCATTTTCCGACGAGATTCCGGCAACCGACACGGGAAGTGATGTAAATGTACGTCTCTCATCCCGCCCCCGAAAATCAAAGCCCAAGAAACTCTGAATAAAAAATAAAAAAAACAAAACAAAAACAAAAATTCCTTCTCCGGAGTTCTAGGAATCCAAATCTCTCTGTTACTGTTTCATTCTCCTAAAAAAACAAAAATATTAGCGTTAAATTTGTATTTTTTTTTATTAGTCTTTATTCATCTCTATAGTTTTTAGTTAGGTCAAATATTTTAAATTTATCGGATTTAAATAAACTATGGGTTAAAATTATAATATTTCCCTTCTTTTTTTTTTTATTGTTATAAATAATTTTAAAAGAACATTTTCCTTTTTTAATAGAAAATTTAATGTGCTTTTCATTAATTTTAAATTATTTTATTTTGACCATTTATAGATTTCCTTGTCAGTGGGTCACTTTTCTCACAAAAAAAATCTAAAACGAAATTACGAAAAAGGGTGAAAAAAATCATTTAAATAGGGTGTTTAGTCACGAGCCTCATTCAAAAGCGAGGATAATATTGTAATAACATCTTTAACTAAAAATAAGCTTTATTGAATGTTATTTTTAAAAAAAAGAAAACCGAAATGACGGAATTATCCTTGGTGGTGAAGTAATTACATGTTGTCCAAAGGAGGGAATAATGACTAAAGAGTGAGGGTATTTGTGGAATTTTGCAGGCGAGGCTGGCTCAGATTGATTTATTTTCGGACGGTGGAGGATTGTTGAGAGAAGCCAGCGTGTTGCGGTACAAGGAGAAAAAGCGGACCCGTCTTTTCTCGAAGAAGATAAGGTATCAAGTCAGAAAAGTCAACGCGGATGGACGGCCCAGAATGAAGGTATGTATGTGAATCTGTTGCATCCACCCTCATCTGATTCCACCTTTTTTTAAAATTAAAATAACATTTTATTTCTAAAAAAAAAAGATATTTAATGAATTTAGAGATTAATTAATAAAAAAAAAAGGAGGAGTGAAAAGACATTTCACTTTTGGCAGGGGCGGTTTGTGAGGAGGCCTAATTCAAGCGCCAGCCAACAGAGATAGACAGCAGCCTTTTAGGGTTCAGAAACGCTCAATGCTGAGTTGTCAGCTTTCCTTTTTTATTATTTATTTTTTATTTTTAACTTTCTTGCATTTAATTATTATCCCCCAACCTTTTCTTATTTCTTTTTTGCCCCCCAATTTTCCATAATTACTTTTCTTTTATCCATTCAATGAGAGAAAATGGCCACCAAGTAGATGGTCAAAGTTCTAATAATTCAAGGCTCTTTTTTAATATTTATTTTTTCCATTTCCATTTATGTAATTTTACTTTTTTATGAAATAAGAAATGTTACTATTTATGTACCCATGTAATGTATGTGTTTGTTTTTAATGTTTAATTTTTTTCCTTTTCAATTTTGAATTAATTTAGTTTCGTACTAAGTTTTTTCAATTTAGTCATTCACTTCTGCGAATGTTTAAACTTATCTATGATAAGGTTTACTGGCTCGGTTGAAAAATGTAACAAAAATAAATAAATAAATAAATAAATGAGTACACTGAAAAATAATAGCTTCAGGTCTATACCTTGTGCTCCGGGATCGCAACAAGAACCCGATCAGAGCCTCGACAAACAACTCCCCGACTCGTAGGTTCGCCTCTCAGGTTTGGAATACACCTTGACTAGAACACATAAGAAAAAATATATTCCTAATCTCTATTTTTTATTTATATTGTGTTTAATAGTTTTTTAAATTAAATATATAATAGATCGTCAATTTTTAATTTCGTATCTAATTGCGTAATAAAATTATATTACATGTTTAATAGAATCCTAATTTATTTTTTATACCAAAGATAATATTAAAAAAAAGATTGAGTTAGACAAAATTTGAAAACTCATTAAATTCGTTGAACATTACTCAATTAATTAAAATATAAATTATTGATATAAAGAGATTTGAATTTCAACTCTGCCCATTTAAAAAATACAATAAATTAAAATTAAATAATATATTCAGCTCAAAAATCTATTAAAAACTTTTTTTAGTATAGAAACTTAATAAAAGATTTCATAAAACTATTGAATTTATTGGAAGGTTTTTTCAATTTAGGCAACCCAGGTTAAATAATGAATTTAATCATAAAATATTTAAATTGAGACGGTTTATTTGTCCAAATTTTTATTTTTAATAAAAGTGAAATATTAATACGTAATATATATATATTTATTTATTTATTCAAACGTTAAACGAAAAATACAAAATAATAATAGTTTTATTTAGTTTAAAATTAAAAAAGAAAAGGTAGGATTTGACAGGAAATGACAGGACCAAAAATTCTCCGGGGACATGTCCGCATTCCGACCAATCAGAACCCATTCGAACAATTACCAAATTAACCTTGAATTCCCGCTACCCCATATCGGGAACTTGGAGGACTTTATCGTAAGAAGATAAAAACCCGTCAAAACCAGAAACCCGCCATTTTTTCCGACCTTAAACGAAAATTCATTTTCAATAATTTTTTTTTTTCGCCTCTTCATTTTCTTCGATGCGCACATTTTTTGTTAGAGCTGCAGAGAGAGAGGGAGAGAGAGGGTCGTCATCGTCGTCGTCTTGGTTGTTATGGAAGACTCGATGACGGAGGAGAAAAGATGATCACCATTTCCTTTCTCTCTCTCTCTCTCTGATCAATCATCAAGCGGATTCTGATTTCCATGGGCACATTTCAGAGCTTCCGCAAAGCTTATGGCGCTCTCAAGGATTCCACCAAGGTCGGCCTCGCCAAGGTCAACAGCGAATACAAGGTTAACTCTCTTCTAATTGAGATTCAATGAATGGATGAATGATTTCTTTACATGTTCGATTATCTGATTTCTTCTTTTCTTTTTTGTTTGAAGGATTTGGATATCGCCATTGTCAAGGCTACCAATCACGTTGAATGTCCGCCTAAAGAACGTCATATTCGAAGTCAGTTTTCTTTGTTCCAAACACCTGATTGTTATATTTCTGATTCTGGATTTGGTGTTGGTATTCGTGATGTGAATTTGTTTTCGATTCTTATCTGTTTGTTGGCATTTCCGATTAGAAAGTCTGAATGGTGAAATTTGGTTCGGAAATGCTTATTTGGTATCCTTATTGGTAGAAATATTTTCGGCGACATTGGTGATGAGGCCTCGGGCGGATGTGGCGTACTGCATTCATGCATTGGCGAAGAGATTGTCGAAGACGCGGAGTTGGATCGTAAAATTCTCTACCATTTTTCATTTCAATTGTATATTCCCATTAATGCGTTGTATGTTCTTTTTTTTCTAGGGTTGTGTTTGGCACTATTGTAATGAGAGACAGGACACTAGAGATCGAATTTGATATCCTTTTTTGCTAAGTTATGATGCAATATGTCAAATTTCGTAAATAAGAAAATGCACAAAAGCCAAAACATCTATGCAATCAATGGATGCACCAGAAAATTGAAACCCCCAAAATTTAGGGTGTTTCTCTGTTGTTTCTGGCAGGTAGCCTTGAAGACATTGATAGTTGTACATAGGACATTGAGAGAGGGTGATCCAACCTTCAGGGAAGAACTTCTCAGCTATTCACACAGAGGACACATTCTCCAAATATCAAATTTCAAAGATGAATCAAGTCCTCTTGGTACAATGCTTCTCTTTAGTTTCTATGAATTTAACCAGTATGCTGATGAGGAGGCCTTTTATGATACTTGTTTCAAAATATTTCATTGTGAAGCTTGGGATTGTTCTGCATGGGTAAGGACGTATGCCCTTTATCTAGAAGAGCGACTTGAATGTTACAGAATCTTGAGGTATGATATTGAATCGGAACGTCTAACGAAAACATCTCCAGGATCGGTGAAGGTTTGTAATGTCAAAATGAAAACACTAAGTCGGATGGAAATTGGTTATTCCTTCATAATTAAGAAATCCCTTCTTTAACAGATACATAGTAGGACACGCTTGCTGAACTGTGAAGAGCTACTGGAGCAGCTACCCGCACTGCAGCAGCTTCTCTACCGCCTAAAGGGATGTCAGGTAATAGCTGTTAAAAGGGTCTCTTTTTTATACTTACAAAAAGGCTATTGCTATTAATTCTGTGGATTGTGGGCCCTTTTATTTTGCAGCCAGAAGGAGGAGCTTACAGTAATTATCTTATCCAGTATGCCCTGGCTCTGGTAAGTAACTATGTTATCTTACAATATGGACCCGGCATTGGGCTCCACAACAAAATTTTTAGGTCCTGGACTAGGAATTTAAAAATTAGTTCAAGTTTTGGTTGCTTACTTCTAACCATAAAGCTTTAAGAAATTCAGAGGATTGCACCATCATAGGTGTAGAAGAATTCTAAGTTTGTTTTTAACCAGCAAATGATGTGGGGTTCAACATTCAAAAATTAGTTCAACCTCTTACACTGGTTTAATTGTCTACTGTCCCGAAGATTTAATTGTCTTGATGAGCTATTAAGAACCTAGATAAGGTTTGATTTTTACTATCTAGGAGAGAATTACAGCCCAGTACAATTGTATTTTATTCAGTTTTGCATTCGTGCTTATCTCATATCATGAAAACATATGAGAAGGTAAAATTTCATTCTCAACCTTTTTCCAAGAAAGTGATCAAGAATCATGTCAACTGTTTTCCCTATCGTTTAACTTTTGGGCTATTCATTTCCCATTATCTATCTATTAGAGAAAAGAACGTCAAATATGTTACTCATTCTGTATTTTTCGTACTCTTGACTTTTATTTTATGAAGGTACTCAAAGAGAGCTTTAAAATATATTGTGCGATAAACGACGGAATAATAAATCTTGTGGACATGGTAATGTATCTGCTCCAATTTACTACTAGTTTTTTACTATTGCACTATTGCGATTTTGTTTGTTCGTTATAACAGTTATGTTTGACTTCTTACAGTTCTTTGATATGCCAAGGCATGATGCAGTTAAAGCTCTCAATATATACAAAAGAGCCAGCAACCAGGTTATTTTCCCTCTAATATTTTCACCTTCTGCTGTATATGAAAACATGGACTATTGAACAGATAAAATATTGCAGTTGAAACTTGAAATATAGTACAATAAAGTTAAATCTTTCAAGTTTTCTTGTTCATAGGCTGAAAATCTTTCGGAATTTTACGAATATTGTAAAGGATTGGAACTTGCTAGAACATTTCAGTTTCCCACATTGAAGCAGGTTCTTTTTTCTTTATCTCTAGATCCAAAAAGGGTAAATTTTACCCCGTTAAAAGAAAGGGAGAATATAATCCAAAATCTTAGAAATGTTCCTTACACTATTAATTTTATGCAATCAACAGCCACCTCCATCATTCCTTTCAACAATGGAAGAATATATAAGAGAAGCACCACAGACAGGTTCTGTTCATAAGAGACTGGTGAGAAAAACTTTCCAACTCCCGAAGTTTTTATCTTGACTTTATATGTATATATTTGAATGCATGTGATTTGTTGGTTTGTCTTCCGGGTACAAATATCTTTTCTATATGTGTATCTCCAACTTCATAATAGCACATACTTAGACGTATGTCTGGATCTTTGTGATGCAGAGTTTAGATCCTTATGCCATGCTGAAAACTAAAGAGATTTGCTTTTCTAGGCAGGCTTCGAAGCATAGAATGTAGTGGTTCTGATTGCACAAAACATAAGTGAAACAAATAACCAAACTGCAAATTATTAAGACTAATATCCTAATGCTACTGCACTGCTTAATTAACCAAGTCTCCATTGCTAAATCCCTTTGTTCATTGGCTATCCTTGCATCTTAAATTTTTGCCATCTTTTCTGGCTTATCCTCTATAGATGACTCTACATTTTTGTAAAGTTTTTCTTTGCTTTACAATGACAGAGCATATCTTTTCATGGATTAAAGTACTAAGTATAATATTCCAATTCTTCTCTCATATTTAAAATATTGATACATATCAACAAACTACATTTCCCTTCGTAGTTGTTCCAAAAAAAGAAAAAAAACTTTTGTGAAGTTGATACTTCACAATATTTTTTTTGTTAAGATTGCATCAATATGTTATTTCTATCAGCATATGAGTTTTGATTGAACATGGGATTCTATAGCTTGCATTTGGCTTAAAGTAGCACAGAGATTATAGTCATGTTCTGATTATAAGACTGAACAGCGAGCTAGGATCTCCAGTTTGGCAGTTTCCAAGAAAATATATATGTGTGGACCAATATTAAGCAAGGCCCTACATTAGCATCTTGAATTTTATTAACTTCTTCCCGTAAATCCTCTTTTTGGTTTCATT